CAAGGGTCAGAGCTTGCCCTGTCCAGCTTCCCATTGCTGGTGGGCAGCCTCAGAGTTACTCCTTTGACTGCTGTTACAAAAAACCTGACAAAAGGGAAGGCAGGTTTATATTGGCTCACCGTCTGAGGGTGCAGTCTGTTCAGGAGGAAAGGCATAACTAGCAGAAGTGTGAGGCCCAGAAGCAGAGATAGATGAGTGCTGGTGTTACACTCATTCCGCTCTTTTTCCTCAGTGTAGGATCCAACCCGTGGAGGGCTCATTTTCATGGTGGGCCTTCCTACCTCACTTAAGCCTCTCTGGAAATGCCCTCCTACAAATAGACTCAGAGGTGTGTCTGCCAGGGGGAGACACAAGTTCCACCACAATTCTTTTGAATATTCAAATGTTCAGTCTGTTTCAGTTTATTACTGGAGGCTGGAGAGATAGCTCAGCGGTTAAGAGTGCTGGCCACTCTTCCCCAAGACCCACTGGGTTCCCAGCACCCACACCAGATAGCTCACAACTGTCTGTAACTCTAGCTCCAGGGGATCCAGTACACTCTCTGGCCTGCACAGGCACCCACCCGCACAACCACACATACATATAAATAAGTTAAAAAAATATTACGGGGCAAAATAGTATCAAAAACAAAATGGAATTTATTTTAAAATATCTGTATTCTCAATTGTCAGTCTTTTCATAACAGAATTATAATTAAAAAAAAACTTACTTCTAAATAATAGCAAACTAATCTGAAATACGTGTTATTTCATCTTTAATATACTTAATCTCAGCTTGGACTATTGTTAAATTAGATATTTTTTCCTTTAAGAAAGAAATTTCTTTCTCTCTTTGAATTAAGTCAGAACCTAGCCTTCCAATACGTAGTGTTAAATCATCTACTAGTGGTTCCAGACGCAAAAAGTCCTTTTTCAGATTATATACCTTTGGTTTTAGATCATTGGCAAAAGTCACTGCTTTCAGAACTTTAGCTCTGTCACTTTCCAAGCTTAAAAATCTATCTGAGTGCTTGTCGAAATCCCCCTGGAGCTCAGCTAGCCTCTTGGTGACTGAGTTGATCCTTCTGGAATTTTCACTTGCAGTCCTTCGGAGCGCTGCTGTTCGGTCGATGCTACTTGAGAGAAGATCACCTATATTTTCAACTGTGGCCGTTTCTACTTTTCCGACTTTATTTTCCAGTTCTTGCACAGAGTCTGTTAAAGATGTGACTTCAGTTACTAAACCGGAAATGCGGCGCAGGTCTGTCTTCACACTTGTAATCTTGAGACCCACATCTTTCGCTGTGGAAGTTGTACCTTGGTCTACTTTCATAATATCTTGAGAAAGGCTTGTTACTGTGTTGTTCAATACACCATGTTTCTCAGTTATCCTGCTAGACCAAAGTTTCATCTCATGAACTTCTTCCTGCAGGAGCTTTAGATGAGTCATTATTTGAAAGGCCTTTAGTTGTTCCATGAGAGCTTCACATTTCTGATACTATAAGGAAATATAATACCACAGTGATTAAATTAGCCAAACTTGACATTTAAAATTCAACTTAAAATTCATGTTTTTTTTCTTCTTTTCCTCTTGACTTACTGCTCTTTGGGAAAGCATAAGGTGAAAGACAGCTTTGAAAGAGTCAGCCTTGGGCTGGGGGACTCTATTCCAGAATAGCCTGACTACAAATGACAGCCATCACTCCTGGCTTTTCTTTCTTTGTGGTGTTGGAGACAGAATCAGGCTGCTTGCTGCCAAGCTGCTAACCCCTGGGACCCACATGGTAGAGGGAGACAGCAAACTCCCCAGAGCTGTCCTCTGCCTGCTCCATGCAGTAGCTCTCTACTGACAGGAAAGCAGTTTGATTCAACAACTTCCCATGCTGCATGTTACACGCAAGTAGGATCAGGGCGGTCTCTCATTTTGGGGTGTTTGTTATTTAGTTTTGGAAGCAGATTGGTAAGAAACTCAGAAAAAAGATGTGGAACAAAAAGAAAGCATGAAGGTTGAAAACATTTTTCATAAGGTATGCAGTATACAGTCTAACCTTCAGACATCAGGTGTTTCTCTAGAGTATTCATTTCTTCAATGTTTTTGGTGGGTCACCATTCTTAGATTGTACTGGCTTACTCAGTTACCTTTTGGAGATTATTTTGGCTCACATACTATCTAAGGAAAAAATGTAATATGCTCAGTCTTTTCTGTGTGTAGGTTGGAAGTCAATGTGTGTCTCAAGTGTTTTCTACTATTGCTCTTCACTCCTTCCTTCCTTCCTTCCTTCCTTCCTTGCTTTCTTTTTTGGAGACAGGGTCTCACTATGTACCTTTGGGCTGAAATGTCCTATGTAGACCAGATCCATTTGCCTTTGTCTCCTGAGAGCTGAGATCAAAGGCTTGTGCCACCACACATGGCACTACCTTATTTTTTGAGACAAAGTCTCTGTATGACCATGGAGCTCAACAATTGGCTTGATTGACCGGCCAGGAGGCTCTTAGGTTCATCCTGTCTCCATCAAGAGCTGGAATTCCAGACACACCCTCTGTACCCAATTAAAAAATATTTATTATGTATACAGTGTTCTGTTTGTATGCATGCCTGAATGCCAGAAGAGGGCATCAGGTCTCATTATAGATAGTTGTGAACTGCCAAGTGGTTGCTGGAAATTGAACTCAGAACCTCTGGAAGAACAGCCATTGCTCTTAACCTTTGAGCCATCTCTCCAGCCCTCTATATCCAATTTACCAATATTTGAAAAAAAAGTTTTTTTTTTTTCATGCGTGTATACTTGTGTTAGTTTGGGTATACTATATAGATCAGGACCCCAGAGCCTCAGATGCCTTGGAAATGGAATTACAGGGAGCTGTGAGTCTCCATGATGTGGGTACTGGGAGCTAAATCTGAATCCTCTGCAAGCACTCTTAGCCACTGAACCATCTACACCCCTCTACACCCAAATTTTATGTGGGTGGTAGGGATCCAAACTCACGTTCTCAGCTTTATCCACCGATCTATATCCTTGGTTCCGAATAGTGTTTTGAATGCAGATTTAAAAAGCAGTGACTGGCTGGGTGTTGGTGGCTCACGCCTTTAATCCCAGCACTCGGGAGGCAGAGGCAGGTGGATCTCTGTGAGTTCAAGGCCAGCCTGGTCTCCAGATCAAGTGCCAGGATAGGCTCCAAGGCTACACAGAGAAACCCTGTCTTGAAAAACAAAACAAAACAACAACAACAAAAAAGCAGTGACTGAAACAGAAGGTTTACGGTGATCTGCTGAAATGAGTTAGACCAGTTAATTCAAGGTAGCGAGTCCCCCTCTTTGCTCCATCACATGTTTGGCTTCAGTGTATATTTGACTTTTGTCTTCAGTAGCTTTATGCTCTGTCAATGATTGGTGGAGTAGGTGACCCAGAATGTGTTTTTGATAGAGAAGTCTGCTTGTGATAAGGTTATTTGGAGCACAACATTAATGAGTAGCTACAAAGAGGAAGGAAATCAAGTAGCAATTGTAAAATATTTTATTTTTAGGGATCTCAGTTTTTAATACACTTATTTGCTAAGAATCTTCCCCTGGGTGAGAGGACTAGAAGGCTCTCTTTTGTCTATTTTATCACTAGGCTGTCATTAGCTAAGGTATCTACTTGTGTGGAGTAAGCATAGCTTAATAGTATGGCTTGACTAAGACATCTTAGAAAGAGCTCACTCTTAGGAGGCTGGGTCACTAGGGAGCTGCTTTGATTCATTTAGTGGCTTGGAAGAGGATTTATTATGAACTTCTAAAATGGAAACTCAATGCAATGTGCTAACAGACTAGAAATGGTGAAAGCCTTTTTTTTTTTTTTTTTTTCTTTTGCTACACTCTTCTTCCTCTTCTCTCCTTCCCGTCCTTTTCCGTGCTGGAGTTCAGGACCTTGCATGTGATAGGCAGGTACTCTCCTCTAAGCTACATCCCTAGCTATCCCTTTAAATTGGTGAATGAATGTATGTATGCATGTGTGTGTATCTATGTATGCATGTGTGTATGCATGCATGCATGCATGTGTATGTATGTGTGCATGTGTGTATGTATGTGTATATGTATGCATGCATGTGTATGCATGTATGTATGTATGTGTGTATGTATGCATGTATGTGTGTGTATGTATTGTATATGTGCATGTGTGTATGTACGTGTGTGTGTGTATGCATGTGTGTGCATGAATGTATTACGTATGTACGTGTGCATGTGTGTATGTATGCGTGCGTGCGTGCGTGCGTGTGTGTGTGTGTGTGTGTGTGTGTGTATGTGTGTGTGTATGTGTGCGCATGTAGAGACAGAGTCTAAGGCAGCCCAGGCCGACCTTGAGCGCTCTATGTAGTTGAAGATGACCTTGAATTTATGATCTTCTTGCTTCCATCTTCCAAGTGTTCAGGCCTGGTTTTATTCCATGCTGGGGATAAAATCCAGTGCTTCAGGAATGCTAGGCAGACACTCTATTAGTTGAGCCATATCTCCAACCCCTCCTGTAATTCAAACAATCTTTTTTTTTTTTTTTTTTACTATATAATGTGTATGGGTGTTTTGTCTGCATGTGTGTCTATGTACCATGTACATGTCTGGTGCTTGAGGAGGTCAGAATGGAGCACAGAATGCCCTGGAACTGGAGTCACAGTTGTGAACTGCCATGTGGGTGCTGGGATAGGATCCATGTCCTCTGGAAAAGCAGTCAGTGCCTATGAAGGCCAAAGGAGGATACTGGATCCCCTAGAGTTGGGATTATAGGTGACTGTGAACAGCTTTATGCAGCTGCTGGGAACTGAACTCTGGCTCTCTGCAGGAGCAACATGCACTCTTAACCACAGAGCTATCTCTTCAGCCTCTCTTTCTGCAAAGCTTTTGCTGTTAGTGTCCTGCCATGTAGCCCAGCTTAGCCATGAACTTGGACTCTTCTGCTTCAACTTGGAGTTACAGACATGCCCCACCATGCCTAGCTGTAAAACTGCTTTATCTGTGCTGAAATTTTTAAATAAATGGACAGTACTCTCTAAAAGCAATTGATATAAAATTTATTATCAATTACAGATATACAAAAATATGTGTATTAGAAAATAGTAATTTTCATAAAGCACAACAAAGTGAAGCCTGGGCCATTACATTTACCTGTGACCCCTATACTTGAAATGTAGAAGTAGAAAGATGGTGAGTAAAGACTAGTCTGAGCTACATATTGAGAGCCTGTCTCAGAAATAAAATAAAAAGCTCCAAAACACACAACAACAAAACAAAGGAAGATTCAGTTAATGTATCTAGATCTCTCCAATGACAATTTTGTTAAATAGGAAATTAAAAACATTTATAATTATTTTATGCATATGATCTGTGCACCACATGCATGTATGTCATGCCTGGTAACTGCAGAAGTCAAAAGAATGTGCCAGATACCCTGGAAGCTGAGTTACAGATGCTTATGAGCCATTATGTGGACGCTGGGAATCAACCCAAGTCTTCTGCAAGAACAACCAGTGCTCTTAACCATTGAGTCATCTCTTCAGCCCCAGGACAAATTTCTTCTTTTGGTTTTTCTATACAGAATTTCTTTGTGTAGCTTTGGCTGTCCTGGCATTTTCTCTATAGACTAGGCTGGCCTCTAACTCACAGAAATTCTCTTGCCTCTGCCTCCTGAGTGCTGGGATTAAAGGTGTGTGCCACCACTGCCCAGCTTGCAAATTTCTTAGGAAAGGAATAAAGAGACACATATTTGACAGTTTTCTCATGTAACATTTGTACCCTTCTCTGTCTTCCGGTGCTGGTATTACAGGTAGCACTGCTAGCCCCAGCCTTTTATGTCAGCTGGGTAAAGTCAGGTCTTCATGCTTTCACAGCAAGCACTTCACTTATGAGCTCTTTCTCTCCTAGCCTTATTATTATTGTTATTTTTTGAGACAGTCTCAGTATGTAGGACAGGTAGCCTTGAACTTATAGATCTGCTTGCCTTTGCCTCCTGAGTGCTGGGATTTAAGGCATGTGCCACCATACCTAGCTCCAGCTCTCATTTTTTAAAAATTAAAATCAGTATGTAAAACAAACTGAGTTTCATAAGTTGGGGAATCTTTAAAATAATGACAAATATGTCATAATTATCACAATTTATTGTTGTGTTGTTTTATCTTTAAAGCAGGCTCAGGCTTATTGACATATTTTTAAGTATCTCTTGGTTGTATTTAGTAAACTCTAGTGTCACATAGTTCAAACTTCAGAAATTAAAGTCCAGGTTCACAAAGGTACTCTGTGAGCTCAAACTTCAAAGCATAACCAGTTAATAGAAAAGGCTATTTTTGAGGATAAAGTAAGAACATATTTACATTTTAAACTTCTTCTAAGTATCTGTAACACAGAAAAGGCTATTTTTGAGGATAAAGTAAGAACATATTTACATTTTAAACTTCTTCTAAGTATCTGTAACACAGTTTAGAACCTTTGCAAAAAGGAAAATACTTGCCAGGTGCCATGGTTTTCAGAATGTGGCGTTACCTCTTCACAAAAGAACCCCCAGGCTCTCCTGCAGGCATATTACCTTTTATTTTACATAAAATTCCTATGAACTTGGTTGTCTGAATATAAATAACTGGCAGAGGCAGGTGTGTTATCAACTGACTGCAAGAACAGGTGACAGAAAAGGCATAAGAAACAGACATAGCTTTGAAAAACAGAAAACTAGGGTCACATGGTGAAATGTAAATGGTCTCAATATTTGCTACAGTATCTGTAGCTCACTCTATATATCTATCTATCTAGTATAATAAAGATAATTCATAATGATGTCTATTAATTATTGGAAAGGCATGTAAATATTAAATATATTGTCTAAAATGTATAACAATATATATTTTAGAACTATTTCTTTCTGTCTTCCTTTCTTTTCTTTTCCTTTTTTTTTTTGTTTTTTTGAGCCTGTGTTTCTCTTTGTGTGTGTAGCCCTGGCTGTCCTGGAACTCCCTCTGTAGACCAGGCTGGCCTTGATCCACCTGCTGCTGCCTCTGTGTGCTGGGATTAAAGGTGTGTGCCACCACCTCCCAGGAGAACTATTTCTCTTCAAGATGGTGAAAATCAGTTTTCAATCTTAAAAGATAAACGTTTGATTATGTGTACACTCCCTGTGGCCCATCCTCCGCTTATTCTCTAGGAAAGTGGGACAGGGCAAATGAGTGGAACTGTACAGCTGACTCATTTCCACTTAGTAATAGAGTCCAGGAAGAGATGGGCAGTGGACCTAATGGTCACCAGCTCCCTTATTTTCTAGGTTATATTTCTCCAAAGTCTCCTTTTCCTTTGCACTTGAATATGCTATGAAATCGTGAACTTTCCCTTTTAGAACAACCAGTTCATTTTGCATCTTTAATATGCTATTGTCATACTGAATTCCCTCAAGGGTTTTCTGCATCTCCATTATTTCAGACACTGCCCTTAGCATATCATCTTCCATGTTGAACATCTGCATAGTAAGGTCTTCCATTTTCTTTTCTGTCCCCATCAGATCCTGGGACACTCTGAGAACAGAGTGGATTGCATTTTCTATAGCTGGCAAATGTGCCTTGCATTCTTCAACTTTGGGTTCGTAGTTGGAAAGTTTATTGGTCAGATCTTCATCTCTGGCTAGGAGTGAGTGCTGTTCTTCTTCTAGCTTCTCAACTGCTTTTGTGTCAGAGCTGAGCTGTGCCTCTACTTGGAGAAGATCTTCCTCTTCTTGCCTGTTTACTGTTCTGATGTTTCGTAGTGTACTGTCTTCCAAATCTTTTAGCCGTTTGGTGAGCAATTTCATTTTTTGCTCAGCTGAATTAATTTTCATGGTAACTTGAGAATGTATATGCTTTGCTTCTGATTTGAAAATGGTTGTATTATCGCTCATTTCTGCCAGAGTTCTCTTCCAGAAATCTGTAATGTTCTGGAATTTCTCATTAAGGTTTTGCATCTTTTGTGTGAGCATCTCATCACTATTCTCAATGTCATGTATGGATCTTTGGAGTCCAGATACTTCCTGTTCAAACTGGGTCATCAAAGCCATGGATGCTGTAGCTTCCTGCAGGATACTTTCAGTAGACTCAAGCTGCATTTATGACACAAACAATCCCGAGCTACTTAATCACTTTTATATTAGAGAAACATTTTTTTAACAATCAGGAGCATAACATATACAAGGTTCAAATTCCGAAATTATTTAACTACATCAGAATCACATGGACAGAAAATTTATCACTATTAGTTTTTGACAAATTTAATAGAGTAGCCCTATGTTGGAAAAATGTATACTTAACTCATAATCCTAGTTATTTAACATACCTTTTTCATGAGGGCACAGCAAAAGAAATGTTAACATTTTTGAAGTATACTGGAGTTTCTTTTTTCTTGAAAATGGAAAGGAACATAGATGTCATTTTTATGGCTATTTGGCTTTCAGGAAACTGCAACAGTGTAAAATTTGCTACTTCTCCTAAATCCTGTGATTTTTGACATTTCTGACTGAATCATTATTATTATTTTTGCTAACCTCTTCCAGAGAAAGAACTAGAATTGGATTGTAAAAAAGCAAACATGAATTCTTAAAAAAGTAGTTGAGACAAGTTACCTCAAATGGCAGTGTTTATTTGCAGATCAGGATAAGCCTCTAGGATCTCTTAGAATGGGCTGGGATATTTGGAAGGGTCATGTCATGGACTTCACTAGTCTCTACCCTCATATGGATAAGAGTTTTAGAGATTATGAAAAGACCCAGGAATAATTATTTAAGCTATCAAATGTTTGCCGCACTGTCCTGAGACAGGACACAGTTCTGGCCTGCAGCAACTTAGTTAGGAAGCAAAGCATTCTGCATGCACTACAACAAGGGGAAACATACGGAAGTTCTCAGGCATAGTCCTGACTCAGACTTCAGTGACTGGGCACAGTATTCCAGAAGTACTATGTAATATTCCTTCCAGGAAGAGACCATGTCTTATATTTTTATTGTGGTTGTTTTTGTCCCAAATATCAAGAATACAAAGAACACATTTCTTTCTTTCTTTTTTTTTTTACATTTTAAATTTTATTTGCATACATGTTTTGCCGCCATTTATGTATGTGCACTGTGTGTATGCAGTGCTACAGACATCAGAACAAGGCATGGTGGAACTGGAGTTATAGATGGCAGTGAGCCACCATATGGGTGCTGGGAACTGAACATACGTCCTCTGGTAAGGCAGCCAGTACTCTTAACCACTGATATGTGTCTGAAGAACCCAGGATCACATTCTTGATGAATATGGAAGATGATATTCTGAGTCAGTATCTAAAATAATGGAGATGCAGGAATCCCTCAAGGGAATTCAGTATGGCAATAGCTTTCTGGGACCATCTGAACAAAGGTTGGTCTAGAACTTGCTATGTAGAACAGGCTCTCCTTGAACTCAGAGATTTACCTGCCTCAGCCTACAGAGTGCTGGGATTAAAGGTGTGTACTACATGTCCAGGTAGAGCAACCATACTTTCAGTGCTTTCCAGGAACTAATTTGGATTTTGGGGAGAATGTCAAGAAATAGGAAGCCCACGTAGGAGTTAAAATAATGAGAGTTTAAAGAAGCTTTGACCTAAAGTGTGAGCATGGTAGTAGTGAAGATGAGTGCATCTCCCCCAAGCAAGTAAATTAATGGATTACCTTGTCTGAAATTAAACTGATTTTATTCTGTAGTCCTTGAAACTCTCTGCTTTCTATTTGCAGTAACTGGTATTGGTTTTCCATCTTGGAAATTTTTTCTGTTTGTTGAAATACAATCCTGGAAAAGAAGAAAATAATGCCTATCACTGACTTCTGATAAGAACAATATGAATTCTCAAATGGCCACTGCAGTGCTTGTCAGCTGAGTTTACCATTCAGGTGGCCTACTGTGTGGCAGGGGATGGGATTGACCCAATGCAAAGATGAGTCAACATTGCCTCTCTTCAGGGTTCATAGCTCAGTGAGTGAGGCCGAGTGGCATCTCTAATAGATGTACAAAAAAGAAATATTTTGGAAGATATCAGGATTGAACTATTTGGAATAAAAACTATGATCTCAACCCCCAGCACTACTAAGCTATTGCCCCTCAAACTATCATCCAGACTGTGGTATGCTTGCCTGTAATTGTATTATTTAGGGAGGTAGAGACAGGAGGACCATAAGTTCAAGGCCATCCTCCATTACATAGTTGAAGCTTAAAGGCCAACTGGGGTGACATGAGACTCTGTCTATAGAAAAAGTTATAAAGAGATAAAAATACAGAAGAGGGCCATTGTTCAAGTGATAGAATAGTAAAGCAGGCTGTAAAAACTGTATTTGGTTCTACTCAACCATATGCACATAGGTATACTGTAGACGTCATTCTAAAACGATGGCTCAGGGTAAAGAGCTTGTCATGTAGGCATGAGGACCTGAGCATGAATGATCCCCAGCACCCACATAAAAAGCTGGGCTTGGTTATACCCTTACAATCCCAGAGTCAAGAAAGCAGACACATAAGAACCAGTCAGCCATAGCAGATCTTGGTGGGAAACCCTGTCTCAAAAAACAAGGTTGCTGGCTTCTGAAGAGAGATGATAGAGGTTGACCTCTGGCCTCCACACACATGCACATGCACTCACATGCACACCCACACACCCACACACCTACACATAAAATGAAATCAGGGCAGAGGGTATAGCTCAGTGGTAGATAGGGTACTTATCTGACATGTCAAAGACCTCAGGTTTGAAGCCAGCACATATGCAAACAAAACAGGAGTTTTCTCTTCATCTGGTAAATAGTTAAGAGAGAAGCAAAAAAGAAAAAAAAAACAAAAACAAAGCTATCCTTGGGCTGGAGAGATTGCTTGCTCAGTGGATGAGGGCACCAGGCTGCTCTTCTGGAGGAATTACTATGTGTGTGGTTACCTATACCACTCCTGGTGAGGAGAGGTCTAAGGGCAACCTTTGGATGTTGGTTCTTTCCTTCCACCATGTAAGCCCCAGAGGTTGTACTTACCACATTTGGTGGTAAATACCCCTGGGCCATTTCACATGCCTTAATTCTAACATTTTAACTTTCTGAAAGCACACTATTATTTATTTGTGAATGTGTGTATGATAGCTAATATTGGTTGTCAACTTGCCTACATCTGGAATCCACTAAACCCAAGCTTCTGTTACTCCTGTGAGGGATTTTCTTAATCAGTTTATTTGAAGGAGGGAGACTCACCCTAAGTCTGGGCCACTCCTGGTGGCAGCCCACATAAAAGGTTATGGAAGATGGAAACTTTGCTTTTTGCCTGCTTTCTGACAAGTTTATCTATTCTGTTGCTGAGGCTGGTATTAAATTCAGCTTCTTTAGGATTCCAATGTAGACTATAGACCAGCATCTCTCTAGGAATCCTCCAGTGTTTTAGTGCCACATTTAGACTACTGAGATATCCAGTCTCAAGTATTGAACAATCACTGTATTCTCAGACTTTCTGTTGTGAGACAGCCACTGGACTACCCAGAACACAATCCATAAGCCAGTCTAACAAACTATATATATATATATATGTATATGTATATGTATATGTATATGTATATATGTATAAACACACACATTTTATATATATATATAATATATACATACATACATACATACATACATACATATATATATCCTAACAATTCTGTGCTTTAGAGAACTCTGTGTGTGTGTTTTCTCATTGAGACCAAGTTTCTGTGTAGCCCCGGCTGTCCTGGAACGAACTCACTCTGTAGACCATATTTTACATTGGTATGGATTTCTGTATATTGATACAAATTTAAGGTTATTTTTGTTAGAACATACTCTATACTGTGGTGATATATTAGTTATGATTTAATAAAGCTTGCATGAGGGTTCAGGATGCAAAGCCAGCAAGGAACCATAGAGATCAGGCAGTGGTGATACACACCCTTAATCCCAGCCACCATACTACCTAGCCATAGGGTTGGTGTTGGTGGCACACACTCTTAAACCCAGGACTCAGGAGACAGGCAGACTGATTTAACTGAGCTACACAAAACTGACCCAGTCCTAAAGAGAAACAGCTCACACAAAGGTGATCTCAGCACTTGGGATCACATGCCTTTAATCTCAGCACTAGGGAGGTATAAAAAGAAGAAAAGGGTCTCATGAGAGAATTTGTCTCTAGCCAAGTTGAGGAGAGGCAGCAGTCTAGGACCGCAGTCTGAGGCTTGGTGAAAACAGGATTGCCATTTCAGTCTGAGGTACAGGAAAGAGATAGTGGCAAGTTGCTTTGCTTATCTGACTCTCAGCTTGAATCCCAATATTTGTCTCATGTTACACTATATGTTTCTACTCTTTGTTTAACATATTTTTGTATATTTAAACAAATTAAGGTTTTTTTGTTAAGCTGTATATATTTCTACTCTTAAGATATTGTACCTATGCAGCTCATTTAAAATATGTAATGTATAATTAAGAAATACAGGTTAGTCGTTAGTCATCTATAATAATCAAACTTGTAGTTGTGTTAGATACGTTTTTTTAAAGGTTAAATAGAGATATATTTTAGATAGACAGGTGGTCTTTAAACACTTCAGACACCTTCAGAATATGGCATTTAACATGTGTCAATAACCTAAGGCTTTCATGACAATGAGACACGTCTGCTCCTGGCAATACCAATTTACTTCAAAAAAGGATGCTGGGCATTGAAGAACCTCCAAATAGAGTTTGTTTTTGTTGTGGTAAAGTTAGCTACTGGGCAATAAAGTGCCCTTGCCTTAATTGCTGACAGTATACTGTCCAAATTGGACAAACAGGGCACAAAAGAAAGCGATTGCTAAATTTTGCCAAGACAAGGTACAACAGTCCTTCAAACTTCTTGCTTCACAGAAAAGTCTGTCAAATATTCTAGGTCTGTAAGGCTGAAGATGGATAGCCCAATGTTGCTGGGGAAACTTGGGTTCAGGTAGCTAGATGTCTTTGTCATTTCTATATTTTTGAAAGTTGTTTACTATGCACTTCCTGTTTACTCAGGTAATAAATAGATCCTTCTTGGGTCTGTGTTGGGGCTGAAGATTAGACGTTACAGTTACAGTTTTCCTTGTTACCAAATTCAGAACAGAAACTTTACAAAGGACGTTTAAAGTATGTAAAGTTGAGAGACATAAAGGCTTAAACTGTTTATCTAAGAAAATGTTTTGAGGTCTAAAAAATAGTTTTTGGTTGGTAATATAAGTTAAGATAGAAAGGGAATTAGGTCAGGTGGTGGCATGGAAGTCAGAGGATAGCTTTTAGGACTGGATTCTCTTCTTCCCACTGTGTGGCTGTAGGGGATGAAATTCAGGTCTTCTTTGGCTTTGCAGGGCAAGTGCCATTACCAGATAAGTCATCTTGCTGGCCCTACTGAAAATTTTTTTTGAACTCTAATAGAGTTACTGAAAAGCTGAATGCTTTGTGATATAGTTTACTTCATGAATTATGAGGCTTTCTCTAATTAATGGGAACTACATTAATAAATTTAGCAGCTAAAACCATTTTTATAAAGCCTCAACTCTCCTAATGCTGTGACCCTTTATTACAGTTCTTCATGTTGTGGGGACCCCCCAACCATAAAATTACTTTGATTGCTACTTCATAACTATAGTTTTGCTATTGTTATGAATCATAATTTAAATATCTAATATGTGACCCCAAAGGGGCTGTGACCTACAGGTTGAGAACCACTGCCCTAGAGTGAACCAACTCAGTTATATTACAATGTAACAAGCCTTCTTTTCCTTAAAAAAGCTCACACATTTTTAAGGCATGAGTAGTTTATTTAAAACTGCAAATCCAACACATTTATTATCTTCAGATCAAAATTAATATCTTCCACAAATATTAATACCATCATTAAATAAAATTCTTTTAAAAGAGAACAATGATCCCCATTTCATTTAACAAATTTTTATTAACCGGAAGAAAAAAAAACCCAAAAACCCAACAGACCAATATTCAAACATCGTATGGTAGCCAATGCCTGTAATCTTAGAACTTGGGAGGTAGAGACAGGAGGAGCAGGGGTTCAATATGATCCTTAGCTACATAGTGAGTTCCAGTCCAGCCTAGGCTACCTATGATCCTGTCTCAAAAAAAACCAACTACTTGGGCTGGAGAGATGGCTCAGAGGTTAAGAACACTCACTGGCTGCTCTTCCGAAGGCCCTGAGTTCAATTCCCAGCAACCACATGGTGGCTCACAACCATCTATTGTGGGATCTGGCGCCCTCTTCTGGCACGAAGAGACACATGCAGGCAGAATAAATAAATTAAAAAAAACAAACCATATACCCTCCAAAACCCCAGGATTTGGAGTGTTACCAGTAAACTAAAATGGAAATGTACTAGCATCAAAAATATTCTAGCCTGAAGGATATCTAGAGTCTCTTCTGAGTTTCTCTTACTAAATTATCAATGATGAAAAACGTAATAAGGTATCAGTCTTGTTATGAAGATGAAGTAGGTTATTCCTAAGAAATATGGAAGAACACAATCGGTCTTACTTAAAGATTATTTCATATTACACTAATGCATCACCAATATATGCTTGGCTTGAAAACTATGAATATTTAGGCTTAAGTGAGAACAAGTGTCCTTTACAGCGCTACATACCATTCAACCTGTTACTTAGGAGTTAAGACTACAGTCTCCGGGTTAGAGACGGCTTGAATGCTAAGAGCATGCATGTCTGTGGCTTACAACTATTTGCAACCTCAGCTCCTGGGATCTGACACCCTCTTGTGGGCTCCTTGCGCACCTGCACACAGGTGCACATACACACTGACACACATACATAAATAAAAATAAATCTTTAAAAAAGGACTACAGTTTTAATGTAGGCACATTGCTCTAAATAGGAGAAAGACTCATGAGCATTTGTTGCTCACCAACAACAAACTTGTTAATTTTTTTTAGGCTGCAGACATTTCTCTTGTGTGCTTTTTGTGGGCACAAAGCTGCAGAGTGGACGGGAAGTAGCGGTTTTTAGCTATGTGCAAACCTGTGGCGTGTGTACAGCAGGCGCGGAATAAAGCGTGGGCCGAGTCTCGGGTGACTCCTTCCCAAACTTTCGGGGGCATCGACAGGAGCATGCTGGCAGAACAGAGTTAAAGGACCGCATTCAAGCGAGAGTGGGTTGGCGCCCACGCGAGGCTCGACCCACCGCCTGCGGCATCGAGCACTTACCAGGCCAGGCCGAGGCACGCCGCCAGCGATAACAGGCTGAGCCCGGTGCGAGGGTCCGCCCAACCCGCGCCGCCCCGCGCCTCGGGGTTCTTCCTGCCGTCGCTCAGCTTCTCGGGCTCAGCGGCAGGCCCCTTGGGCCCCGGCTTCTTCCGGCTCTTTACCTCGGACATGTCTGGCACCCTGAAAATCTCCAAGCCGGGCGGCCTTACCGGGGTACCGATGGACGTGGCTGCAGCGCGGCTTCAGGAGCCTCCCCCCCCCCCCCGGGTGGCCCCCCGCCGCCCAGCCGGCCCCGCCCCTCGTCTCGTCTCGCCCCGCCTCCCGCCTCCGGGTTCCGCTACTAGACCGAGTTCGCGAACTCAAGCTCGCGGGCGCGCGCAGGCTGCCGGGACGTGATGAGAAGGGCGGGGCCGAACGTGCCACGTCCGTCTGGGCGCGCCCCCGCGTCTTAGCCCCGCCCCATTGCGCATGTGGAGACGCTCTCCGGGGACTTGCGGGCACGCGCCGGGCGGGGTACGCGCGGTGGCCGGCCCTCTGACTGTGGACACG